GAAATTTATAGTTTATGCTGATTGATTCAAATATGTTATAAGCTGGCTTTAGAGTCAATTAAATATATATATATTTTATTGTGTGTGTACATGTGTGAACTCTCGCTCCTTTGAGTGTATGTATATATATATACCACAAGTGTACAGGGGCCCATGGAGGCCAGAAGAGGGTGTTGGATACCACGGACCTGGAGTTATAGGCAGTTATGAGTGGCCATGTGTATGCTGGGAACTGAACCCAGGTCCTCTACAAGTGTTTGACCACTGAGCCATGTCTTTAGTTGGCTTTTTTTTTTTTTTTTTTTTTTTTTTTTTTTTTATGCCAAGCACTGTGTTCTCTGCTTTAGCATGTTATTATTTTATGAACACCTTACAACTGTGCCAGGAAAGTCTTTTTCTTTTATTTCAGAGATAGGGTTTCTCTGTGTAGACCTGGCTTTCCTGGAACTTGCTCTGTAGACCAGGCTGGCTTTGAACTTGTAGATCCACCTGCCTCTACCTCCCAAGTGCTGGGACTAAAGGCATACACTACCATGCCTGGCCTCCTAAAGCCAGTTTTTAAAGATGATATTGCAGAAATGTTATTATCAACAGAAGCACCAACATGTCCTTCTACCAGGATTGCTTTGAAGGCCAGCCCTCAGCTGTCCCACTGCGCTGGCTTAAAGGTGCTGATCATAGACAAATATTCCCCATATTCTGTCATAAGAGAATATACTCTGCCAGCCCCCCTTCCCCTACAACAGGGACAGGGATGAGTTCTCATAGGCCACCACTCATGTTTGCCAAAGGAAGGGGGGAAAGAAACCCTATTTCTGTGCCCACAGGGCAGGCCCAAGGTAAGAGACATGCCAGGATCCAGTGAGAAGGTAGGGCATCTACCTTCACTGCAGCAGCATCCAACTCCACCCTCTCTGGACCGGCTCTGTGTTCACTCTCCAGAGGACTCACTCACTTAGGAGTGGTATTGCAGGGTTCTCTTTCAGGGCTCAGATTCCTTTCTTTTCTAAGAGTTATTTATGTTATGTGTTTGAGTGCTTTGCCTGCACGTATGTATGTGTGCCATGTATATGCCTGGCGCCCAAGGAGGTCAGAAGAGGGTGTCACATTATGGATGGACTGGAGTTATGGATGATTATGAGCCCCCTGTGGGTGCTGGGAACCAAACTGGAGTCCTCTATAAGAACAGAGTGCTCTCAACCATTGAGCCATCTCTCTAGAAGTGTTCTTTTCTTTAAACGTATTTATTAGCATACACCTTTAATCCCAGCACTCTGGAGGCAGAGGCAGGCTGATCTCTGTGAGTTCTTGGCTATCCTGATCTACAAGGAAGTTCCAGGCCAACCAGGGCTACATAGAGAGACCCTTTCTCAACAACAACAACAATAACAACAAAATTGTTTACGATGCTGGATCTCAAACCCAGAACTTTGCACATGCTAGCCAAGGACTCTATCCTTGAGTTGAGTTACTTCCTTAGTCCCAGATTAATTCCTTATTTGTCTACATATGATTTACATGCAAAAATCAGTCCTAAGGTTTAAAAGAGGGAATCTGTCAATTCATAAATTATATAAAATGCACTTTTCACAAAAGTGGACAGGAGCTAGCCATAGTGGTGCACCCCTATACTCTTAGCTTTTGGGAGGATGAGGCAGAAGGATCTGTAGCTTGAGGCCAGCCTGGGCCTCATAGTAAGACTCTGTCAAGTAGCAGACAAAAAGAGGGGGTGGGGGAGTCATAACAAACCTAAATGAAGAGCTATGGGTGTGGAAACTTCTAGAGCTTGCCTGACTCAAAGAAAGTGCAGGAAGAATGCAGGTCAGGGAGGCTGATGCAAGTAGGAACTCTTGCCTGATTTGGGCAGTGGGGTGCTGTCCCTTTTGATAAGAGCCTATCTAGGGCTGGAGCTTCAAGAGGATTAGGTGGGTGACCAGGCTGAGGCCAGGAAGGGTGACCTCCAGGAGGCCCCACCAGGTAGAAAGTTCAATGAGGCTTTGCAGGCAGTCTAAGATGCTTCCAGAATTCACTGGGCAAACCGAATTCCCCAGCCTTTATATCCCTGACAGTTTGTGAAACTCTGGCGAGGGGCTTCCTCATGGACTTTAATTAGACGATTTTTTTTTTTTTTTTTTTTTTTTTTTTTTCTTTGATTTCCAGAGCTGTTCCCACTCCCCCTAGTTGCCCACCTGCCTCCCAGCTGTGAAGAGCAGAGGTGAGGAACATCCCATCCCTACCCTGGTTCAGGAAGCAGAGAGTAGGGAAGGTGGGAATCCTTCTGCCACCTCCGGGGGTGGGGTGGGGTGTCACTCTGTACAGGAGTCACCGGAGTCACCAGAGGCACCCTGCACAAAGGCACCTCCACATTGCCAAGCTTCTCTGGGCTAATGAGTAACACAGGGTGGGGAACGTGCCTCCAAACCCGTTAGTGGCCTTTCTATGGTAAATCCTGGCTGAGCTTGAAGCTGTTTACCCTCCACCCAGGGATTAGGAACCTGTTTGAGTTAGAAGGGCAGAGGGAGGCCAGGGCGTGGCTCTGTCTCCCACCTGTTCTCAGGGCTAAGGCCTGAGTGCTGAACCAGCAGGAAAAAAAAAAAGTAAGAGAAACCTGTCTGCAATCTGTCTTTCCTATTGATCTGTCTGTCTGTCTCTCCTATTGATCTCCTGCCTTGCAGCTGCTTGGCCAGCTTTTGAATCTTGATCCTCTCCACCTAGCTTCACCTCTCACCATGCCCTTGTCAAATATCAGCATAGTTTGGGAAGGTGGGAAGGGGGAAAGACAAGGGGTGGGTGTTATGTTGTTATGATGGTGATGGGGCTCCTGTCTGTTACATGTGTTCTCCTGATGGGGATCCCCCTCCCAAGATCCTTGACCAACCCCCTCCTTCATCCTGAAAGGAAGAGAAGGCTAGACTCTAGGAAGCATTTACTTCCAGCAGCAGAAACAGCTCTGTTTGAGTTTTGTGAAAATTCAAGTCCAGTATTTTATTGAGAGCAATGCGGGCTTAAAATGGAACAAAGTGAAAACATTGTTCCCTCGGGTGTCCTGTTGGTGGGGACATTGTCATTTGTTGTTGAAGCACAGAGCTCTTTTCTGGCACTGTGTGGCCACACGTGTGCAAACACGAGTGTATGCAGGTATGTTCACCACCAGATGGGACCTGGCAGCACGCCCACAAAGGTGTGTGTCACCCACACAAACACACAATCTGGCAGAGTCATAATTGCACTGGGCCAGGCCCACAAGTATCTGCAGACAGCAGAGGGGAGAGTCCCCGCCCTTCAGTGGTCCAGGGAGCTGTTCAAAGAGAGCCTGGGGTGACTCTTGGTGTGAGGGAAACCTCAGCTCTGGTGAACACAATCATCCCCCGCTTTGAGTTCCTCTAGGGGGCTGGGAGAACACAGTTTTCCTTGGGGAGCAGGATGAGAAGAAACAGCATATTTTCCTACCAGAGCCCCCAGAAGCACAGCAGGTCAGCCTCGGGTGCTGGTTTTACAATACACATTGTCTCCTGTGAAAGCTCAGCGAGCAGTTCCTCTGTCCGGCTTGATGTGCTTTGGTGCAGACAGTAAAAGGCCTTCTTGGAACACAGTCCTGCTTTAAGGAAGAGAGGGGCCCAGCGGATGGCCTGCCCACCATCCCCTAAGCCCAGGACGGGAAGGTTATGAGACACTGGGCGATCTTGTAGCCCTGAGCTAAAGAAAAGCAGATTTGGAAGGAACGGCCGAGTAACGTGGTGCAGGGCCCACATGTGAGGACCCGGGGATCCCATGGAGTGGGAACAAAAGGCCCGGAGAGTAGGGGAAGGCTGTGGGTGGATGTGGGGTGTCTGTGTCCATCTGGAAAGGGAGGGAAGAGAAAGGGAATGGTGGAAAGAAAAGAAGAAATTAAAATGAAGGCCCGAGCCTGCTAAAGACTGCCAGATTCATATAAAGGGAGAGAGAGGCACTGTGGAGGCTGAGAAGGGCTGGCTAGCAAGGGAGAGCCCCAGAGAGGCAGTGACCTCTTCAGGAAAGGTGGGCAGGAAGGCAGGAGAGGGGGTGCAAAAGAAGATCCTGCCCACTGGCAACACAGAAGGTGATGACCGGACCTGCTTCTCCCTCTTCTGGTTCCAAGTCAGCACTGTGGCCCTGCCAGCCTCCCTGAGCCCAAGGCTAAGATTGACAGGACTGCAGCTTCTCTGGGTCCTGGGTGGATTTGAATAATTAAGTCATCTGGATTCTTATGATTTACCATTTTCAATGATAAATAGACAGCGCCCAAGCCAGCCAGTTGGCAAAACTCTGGCTGCTAGTTATAATTTGTCAAGCTGCCAGCACATTCATGTTTTATGCTAATGGAGAAAGACTCATTGACTAGGGGCGGCTGCGACCCGGTCAGCTCTCTCCTCAGGCACCCCTGAGGTTGAGAGGTCGGGGAAGAAGGGCTGAGACTGGTATGGATTTTCTGTAAGGGTCAGTGTAATTTTGTAATAATTCAGAGGTGCGCACACACTAGCACGTACAGAGTCCCATATCCAGAGACATGTCCAGGCCCACACACACCCATAGCCCCTCCAATATCGGCAGCCACACCCGTGCAGACCTCTGGGTCTGGGGAACCTAGGACCGGACTGGGCACATCTGTCCACCCCTGCAACCCACTTGCACATGCACACCCCTGCTGTCGCCGTCAGGGATGTGATTATACCAAGATAAACTTACAGACGTGTTCAGCAGCCTGGAGAAACCACTTGACCCCCACACTCAAGCACCCACACTGTGACAGAAGAGTTCACACGACAAAGGTGGGAGGTACCCAGGACCCCTCTCCCATCCATCCCATACCCTCCTTTTCGGGGATGAAAGTACCCAGTCCAGTGCATTTTCCCAGTGTGGAAAGGGCTGAGTGCCATCCAACTTTTCATCTGACTGGGGCAACAAAGAGAGAGCCGGGAAGACCGAGGCCCTGAGACCTGACTCGTGCAAGGCTGCGATAAAAATGAGCTGAACTGAGCCAATTTTCTTTTTCCATCTGTTTATTTGTTTATCTATCCACAACACACTGAAGTCTTGGGGTGGCAAAATTTTTCCGATACTCAGTGGCATACTGAGGTAGAGGTGATGCTTTGCCTGTGATGAATACAGGAAAAAAAATATTAAGAGTGAACAGCTACAGCTACTAGATGCAAAATGGATCAAATTGCTCGTTTTCCCTTCTAGTTCTCCACCACAACAAATGTAGACACCATTGCTGGCTCGAGGGGCCTGAGGACAGATATGGATCTGGGCAAAGACCTCTTGTTCCTGGGTATGGAAATCCTGGCCTTTGGTGTGATAGGAAATACTAATTCTAGACCAATTAAAACAGTCTGGTCTCTCTTCTGACCCCCAGGTGCCCTCACAGCAGATCAATGTGTGCAGGCAAGATGGAGAAGCAGGCAGCTGCCCTTCCTATAAAAGAATTTGAATTTTCTTTGATTATTGGCAGGGCTGGAAGCTGCAGGTCCTTCCTCCCAGCAGCTTTGAGGTTGACAGGAGCACAGGGAAAGATGAGTGGAGTGTGGGGTTAAACATTCACTTTCCTTCTCCAGACCCGGGAGGGCGAAGACAAACTGTACAAAACAGAACAGCAAGGAGCGCAAAGGAGGAACTGATTTTTGCCACCGAGCATTGGCTCCAGTCTGCTGAGATCCCAGCTCCTTTGAAATTCATTGGTTTCTCTCCTTTTTTGTAGGGCCAGGAGGGAGTAAAGAAATGAGTATGGGTAGAAGATAGTCCACATCCTTTCCACAATCACTTGGACTGGGCCACCTTTCTTTACTCAGCAGATGTGGATTCTGGTAGGGGTTCGGGTGCTGGCTAATGAGGGCAATCCGTGTTCTGGTTTTCAGGAGCCAGAATCTGACAGCCTCTTCACCTAAGGTAAATAAGACTCCTAAATGCACCAAGAATAGGGAAACGTGCTTTGTGTTTTAGAGATTTTGAGGTTATAATATGTCACTGACCTTTACCCCCTGAGAGCAGTAGCTTTGGAGACACCAGCACCTGTGTTCCAGGGACAGGGATGAGGTGGAAATGAAGAACTGTCTACAGTGAGTCAAGAGGATGTGAAGGTCAAAGTCACAACTGATACAGAAAGCAAACTGGTACTCTGCCCCAGGTTAGTAAAGCTCAGCTTCTCATTGAGGGCCTCTTCTCTGAGTCCCTGTTTTGCATCCTCATTATGAACTCCAGAGGCAGATCGTGTGTCAGCCAGCCTCAGGGTCTCAGAGCAAAGGCTGCTGGGATACAAAGAGCAAGAGTCCTGCTTTGGCCTAGACAAAAGGGGGCAGAGCACCAGAAAGAAACAAAAGAGAGGAGAGAGAGAGAGAGAGAGAGAGAGAGAGAGAGAGAGAGAGAGAGAGAGAGAGAGAGAGAGAGGAAGAGAGGAAGAGAGGAGGGAGAGAGCGAGGAGAGGAGAGGAGAGGAGAGGAGAGGTGAGGGAGGGGGAGGATGAGAGAAAAGAAAAGGGGCACTGTGCTAGGAAGTGTTGGACAGAGGTCTCCTTGAAGAGGGTGCTGTGAAGGTTGCACTGAACAGTGTCTACATGCCTCTCTAGCTGTTGGGTTGGGGCTTCTCAGCCCATGCTCAAGGGTTACATTGCTCTTGGAAGGTCTGACCCAATGAACTATCCCATCCCACTTTGGGGAAACAAAGGGGAATTATTTATTTATTGCTAAAGGTCAAACCCACAGGACCTCACAAATACTAGGTAAGTGTTTTACTCACACACACACAAATACACAAAAGAACCTGAATCATATACATATACACATATTATATACACACAAAGAAACCTGAGTCATGGCATGGGCAAAGGTATAGCTCAGTGGAACAGTACTTGCCAGCATACATGAGGTACCAGGTTTGGTGCTCAGTACCAAAACAAAACAAAACTTGAATCTAACTGGGCAGTTTCCACCAGTACACTGTGGACAGGGCATAGGAGATGTAATACAGGCCCAACAGGCAATGTATACTCAAATATACCAAGTGGATCCCTCTGCAGACAGAGTCTAACATCATTTTGATAGGTTACCTCTTGTATGGGTTCTATAAATTACCCTATGCACTTAAGACTTGCTTGTCACAGAGACTGTCCCTATTCTCTTCCTCACACAGAATTTCTTCTTTGATTCTTCCAGGGTTTACAAACCTCATACCAAACTCTTCTCAAATGAATCTCACCTGTCCTAGCATGAGGGAACCCCTAAACCTTGTAGTTTCTTGGGGGTAACTGATGGAGAGGGGGTAGCAAAGGATATCCTTTTGCTAAGGATAGAATTTTTTTTTTTCTTCAGGCATTGTGTGGTGGCTTATGCCTGTAATCTCAGCACTCAAAAGGCTGAGGCAGGAGGACTGCCGTGAGTTCAAGATTTGATCTACATAGGCTGTAGGCCAGCCTAGGCTTTAGAGTGAGACCTTGTCTCAGAGAAACATCAACAAAATCAAGGTTTTCCTTCTTACTAATGAAGAAAACAAAGATCCTCTCTCCCACCTAGAAGAACAGGCCTCAACTTCTCCCTTTTCTCCTGTACCTATTTAGGAAGCCAAAATTGCTGAGTAATCCTGTAATGTAAAGCGCTCGTTTGACAGATGATCAAACTATGGGGTCACAGAGATTAAGCACCCAGAGCCCAGAGAAGAGTGGCCCAGTCTCCAGACCCGCTTTGGCACAGGGTCAACACAGAGTGCCAGTGGTCCTCGGGCTGGCTTGGCCTACATTTGTGCAGCGTCATCACCTGGGCTGGGTGAGGTACATTGGGAATGAATTCTTCTTTCTCTTCTCACCCTATCTCCTATTTTACCCTTTATTTTATTTTATTTATTTTATTTTTTATTTTTTATTTTTGGTTTTTCGAGACAGGGTTTCTCTGTGTAGCTTTGCGCCTTTCCTGGAACCCACTTGGTAGCCCAGGCTGGCCTCGAACTCACAAAGATCCGCCTGCCTCTGCCTCCCGAGTGCTGGGATTAAAGGCATGAGCCACTACCTCCCGGCTTACCCTTTATTTTAAAACAAATCAAACCCAAACCCAAATGAACCAGAGCTTCTCCATTCTGCCTTCTCTCAGTGTTTCTTTCCTGTATACTTCCCTCCTTCCTGGCTTCCCGGAGTCCCTTGGTCTGACTGGGCACTTGGGCTTTTACAGGCATGCAGGCACATCTTTCCCGCCCGCCTGGTCTCCTCTCCTTGTTGTTCTGCATTTTCCTGGCACTTCCTGCTATCTTCCTTTGTTTCTAAGTCTTTCCTCTGCAGTGTGTGGCTGGCATTCTGGCCGGCACCCACCCAGCCACCCTTGCACTGCTGTTGCTCAGCCCCCTCAGTCTGGGACCCTATTTCTAGGTGTCCCTTTACTTAACATGTCAGGGTGGGTGGGGTCCACCAGTCCCCACTACAGGCTTAGGAAAGCTGTCCCAAACGGTTGTCACTCCATCAATTCTAAGAAGAAAGAGGATGAGGGGAATGTAAAAAGAAAAGGATGGGCAAGCCCACAGATGGGAGGGATGTTGAGGAGGCAGAAGCAAAAGGGAGCAGATTAATTGAAGGGGGAGGGAGAAGCCTATGACCCCGTGCGTCTCTCTGAAAAGCTTTGGTTTTGGTTTTTGTTTTTTTTTCCCAGAGTGCTAGGATTACAGGCATGAGCAACACAGAGCGCTTCTATTCGAGTGCCACCGGTCTGGTGCCTGCCTCTTTAGGGTTCCTATCAAAGGTCCAGATTTGGCGACCCATGACAAACTTATTCTAGGCAGTGCGGCTGTTCTAACCGAGTCATCTGGGAGAACCCAGTTCCCGGACTCTGGGCAGCTGCTGGTGCTTGGCAGAAATTCTCCAGAGCATTGAAAACAAAGCCCCCCTCCCCCACATATGCTCCAGGCTAAATGAGGCCTAGCGGCCTGAAACACCACACGCTCCAAGTGGGACCCACCGCCCTTTCAAAAAACCGGTCCAAATGCAATTTTTATTTTTTACATTTGCCTTCAGCCTGGTTCTTCCAGCTTCGGGTTCCCAGAGGGGCCTGACCTCAAGTGGAGAGCCCCTCTATCAGGTATCTCTTGGGCACTAGTCAGGCAGCCATCCACTGCACCTGCTGGGGCCTGCTTGTCCCATCTCACCAAACCGGCAGTGGCCCACTCCTGCGCCCGCCCTCTCCCCTAGTCTGGCTCCAACGTCGCTCCCTGAACCCAACGTCTGCTTTTAATTCTCTTTGACATCTCTCGAGGAGGGCCATCAGCCCCTAGAACAGCGCGCGCGGGGGGGGGGGGGGGCTCTTTCCTTGGCCTCCCTGGGGCGCTGGAGAAGGTGGGAGGGTTGTGGGGGTGGGAAGAGCTGCATGCACCCTTGAGACCATTTTAGAGAGATGGGTCTCTGACTCAAACTAGATTAGAAACAGTGTAAAGGTACTGGGAGTATTCTCCTAAATTAAAATCATGGGAAGATCCCAGGAAGGCAGGGCCTTACCCTGCCAGCATCCCAGCACAGCCGGAAACTGCTACTTCCCAACACTTCTGGCTCCTCTCCCTTCCTGTGGACCTGTTCTTGGCGATCTCCAAGAGTCCCTAAGGGCTTATTGGGGTGAGCAGGTTTGGGACTACTTAGCTCTTTGGTTGTACTTAGTCTAGACCCTGGAGCCAGCGACACCTCCTACTTTCTGAAGGAGAGGAGGACTCGCCTCAACTACAATCTCAAACCCCAACTCTGCTTCCTCCCCCAAGCCCTTGGAAAAGAACTTTTTCGAAGTTCCTGCAAGTTGCATTTGGGGGAAAGAATGCCCTGGGAACACTGGGTCTCTCTGCCCCTATTTTCTCCTTTCTTCCCCAGTTGCAGAAGCCTCCCTACCCCTCCCACCCTACTCCACCCCATCCCATCCCCGCCACCTGCCACCCTAGCGCCCAAACTCAGGAGGGAAAAGATGCCCACCCCCAGCCCAGATCGCTTGGAAGGCTAAAGGCGGGCAGGTCAGAGTTCGCCGGCCAGCGAAGAAAGCGTGATGGAGAAAGAGGAGAGAGAACCGGAGCCGCAGATTTCCAGACTGAAGCTTCGCGCTCCCGTGCCCGCTCACCTGCTCTCGACAGGCTCCTTTAGATTTTCGTCCACTCAAAAGTTTGTCCCCTTCGTAGAAGATTTCCAGGAGAGGCGCACATTTGACCCCGGGGGTGAGTTTGAGATGCCCAAGAGGGCCGGAGCGCTAATTAGCGGCCGGCGGAAGCGGGACCCCAAAGTAAGGACGGAGCAGCGATTCGCAGAGCATCCGAGAGCGCCCTGGCGTTAACCCGGGGACCGCCCTGGGCCCACAGAGTGCTAACGCAGAGGTGGTGAACATGGGGCTGCTGAGAGGAGGGACAGAGCCCTGGATGCTGGCGACGTCCGTCGTGTCGTCCAGTTTCTGCCCCCGCGGGTGTGTGTGTTCCAGCCCACAACGTTCTCTCGACCCCTTCTGGGGCAGCGCTCAGGACCCCCACTTGTCGGAGAGGGTCCCCTTGGCCCCACCCCGCCCTTGCGCTACTACCCCCCCCCCCCCCCCCCCCCCCCCCCCCCCCCCCCCCCCCCCCCCCCCCGCCACTTCCCCAGAGCCGAGGGACAGACCGAGAATTGCAACTAGAAATTCGATCTATTGGTACAAGACACCACGTGCTCTCGGGCTAGCCAATGACCAGGCCGCCCGGGATGAGCTAATAATGGAAGCAATTTGTAACTTTCAGTAGCTCTCTAGGCCTAGGTACCGGTGGGAGGGAGGCTGGTGGAGGGGGAAACAGCACCCCCAGTTTTTCAGCCCAGCCTGTTAGTCTAGGGGGCATTCGGACCCCCTGGCCCTCCTTTTTCCTACCAAGCAATCTCGAGCAGGGTTCTTCGACCACTCCTGACCTACAGCGCAGCCAGGTAAGCTGGTCTCTACCCCTCAGCCCACCTCTTCAGGCACCTGCAGACTAGCCTCCCTTCTTGCCCCGTCACACAATTGAAATCCAATTTTGTTTTTCTTATAGTTGAAAGAAAAACAATCCTCTTGTTTTCTTTACCGTAATCCTATGGTGGGCAGGATATTAAGACGTGTGTACTTTCCGTGCAGGGGGTCGGTGTTGATGCTATATTCTTTCAGAAGTCTTTCCCCTGTTCCCTAGGGAACTCCACTCCGGGAGAGTTTACTTTTCCCTGGGGATGAGTTACATTTTTGTACACTAATTCTTCAGCAATATTAAGTTCACCTCCCTTCTCCAACCATCCTCCAGGTCAGCATTTACAAATAATTGCTTCCCATATTTTAAATTTATTCGTTTTTCTCTTTCCCTACTAGTTTTTGTGTTGCTCAGAATCTCCAGGCTTTTTCCCCCTCTAGGTGGACTAGCATTTAGTTTTGTATTGGTTCCTCTTTTTGTTTTGGAAATGACTTTATTGTTTGGGAAACCCTATTGGGTGTGAACAAGCTCTCCTTGGTTGTTCAAACAACCCTGTGGGAAGAACAATGTGGAATAGTTCACACATTTTCTTCCCTTTTATTTTTGCCTTGATTTTTTATGTATTCACTTCAGTTTAAGAAACCTGACCTCATATTTACTCCTTTATATACTAAGCCATTTTTGTTTTTATTTTCTAAGCTTCACCATCCTGCACATTTCTCCTTTTCCTCCACCCCCTTTCCACTCCAGCCTCCATCTCAGAAGCCACACCTTCTATAATTATCAGCATTTAAATCGCCCCTCCCCAGCCCTAAGAGGGGTGCCTAGGAGGAAGAGGCAACTGTCCTATTTCTGCACTGCCCCACTGGGGACACCTCCTGCGGCTTCCCAAGTTAATGGAGATAGGAAGGTCAGAATGACCTCCAACTTTTCATTTTAGATTGAAGTTCTTTACACTTGTCTATTCTGGGTAATTCTTTGGTTGAATTTTTTATTCTTGCTTTTTCCCTTAAGTTTTAGAAAAATGCAAGCAAATTTCATTTCAGGCTGTTGGGCCTTTTATCTCCTAGGGGAGAATTTCCAGAAGAGAAACATGATCTTTATTTTCACTTTACTTTTGATCAAGCCAGACTCTGCAGTGGTGGGGTTACTCCTTTTGTTTATTTGTATGTTTTCGAGACAGGGTCTCACTATGTAGCCTGTCTAGCCTGGAACTCACTATGTAGATCAGGCTGGCCTAGAATTCACAGAGATCCACCTGCCTCTACCTTCCAGGTGCTGGGATTAAAGGCATGCACCACAACTCCTGGCTAATTCTTCCTTTTTTAAAGTGTTTCTAAGAAGGTAAACTACTGGAATGTGTGATCTAGAGTTCCAGTCTATTCAGAATTACTGAAGCTACAAAAATAAAATTGCAAGAGTACCTCACATTCTGGGAGGATGGCCTTGGAGTGACTGTATCTGTCCCTTGTTCCTCTCTGGGCAGAGGAAGAGCTGCTTCTCCCCTCTGGTCCCAGCCCCATTGTCACATTGACATTCTGGGCACATGCGGCCCAACCCCCACCCGATTCTCCAAGTATGAATCTAAATTACTATTAATAAGGGGCCGCTCCAAGCTAATTGGCATTAAAAGAATTCATTTCAATTTGTTAATATTAAATGAACGCTCTGCACTTTAGCTCCCTTCCTCACCCAGGATTCCCAGATGAGTGATGGGAAGCAGGGAGGGGGAGCAGGCAGGATTTTATGTCTGGCTGTCTAGCTTGGCCACTGCTGGGCCTTCCCTGGGGGTGTGAGACCAGGCACAGTGGGGGGAAATCTGAGTGTCTCCTTCTTTATCATCCTGCAAAGCAGAAGCTGTGGGAGAGTGCTGGTGGGTGGGGTCAAAAGAGAGACCCAGAAAGGTTTAGGAGATAATGTGGTGGAGGAAAATGGGAAGGTGGCAGTGAGATAAATAGAAATTTGGAAACACAAGGGATGTGAGCCATGGGTGGGATAGGCTTATAAAGAAAGGCCCATGCAGCTGAAAACCCACTCCCAGGGTTTAGGCATGCAGCTGGGGTCCTGCAGCTGCTAGAGGGTGGCTTTAGATTTTTCTTGGTCTGTAAAGCAAGATTATACAATGAAGGACCTGTCTTAAGGTTGTGTGGGATTTTAAGAAACACACTTGTGTTCTGCATCATGCTTGATACATAGACACCACTACTACATGTTGGCTCTCTTTCTGATACAGTAATTAAGAGCTGCTGGAATGGATTCTCAGTCCTGCCTTGAATTAGTTGTATGCTATTCAGGCCATTATCCAAGCTCTCCATGGTTCTGTTTTTCCATCAGTAGTAGAGTTAATAGCACCTGAGCTCAGGCAAGGAAGAAAGAAGGGAATTTCAGTGCAAAGCGTCCAGAACAACTCAAGTCTCATGGTGCATAAGAGTTAGCTGCTGTGGACAACGTTGCCTTTTGGGTGAGCAAGTTGTGAATGGACAGGTTGAGCAGGCTCCCTGCACCGGGAGCTTGGGGCTCGCCAGGACTGTGAGCACATCACCCGCACACCATCCTTGGCACTTGGAGATGTGGGGAGGCAGCCAGTAACCCTGGAGGCTGTGGGGGTTCAGTTCTTCCCTGTCTGTCTTCTGGCTCCTGGGTTGATGGTGCCCCCCTCCAGTGTCCATCTTCTTTTCTTTCCCTTGGGATGCTATTGATGGAGAATTTGCTTTCTTGACCCCATATCTCCCTATAGTGACAAAGTAGTCTCCAGGGAGTGGGCTGGGGAGATGCATATGGTAGAGAGACCAAAACTTACTAAATATTCTGTATGTTCTAGACCTCATTCAGCAGGAGGCCAAACAAGATCCAAGGAGAAAGGGACCCGACAAAGTCAAAGTGAAAAAGTATCCATGTTGGAAGTTGAGCTCTGATCCTTTTTTCTGGATTATAGGAATACACACACACACACACACACACACACACACACACACACACACACACACACACACAAAATGGTTACATGGTTAAACTATAGTAGAGCCATGGGATTTGGGGGTTTTATTTTGAGATGGGGTCTCATGAAGCCCATACTGGCCTGAAACTTGCTATGTAGCTAAGAATGACCTTGAACTTCTGGTTCTCCTGACTCTTGACTCTGCCTCTCAAGAGCTGGGCTTATGGGTAGGTAGGAGCCATGTCTGGTCTATAGAAACACATCTTAATGCCTTCCCATGCTGTACACTTCTGAAGGAGGAGACGAAAGAAATCATCTGTAGGGAAAGGCAGGACACATGTGAAGTCAGGGGCAGAATGGGGCCAGGATATTAGAGTAGCTGGCGTGTGTGTGTGTGTGTGTGTGTGTGTGTGTGTGTGTGTGTGTGATAATATTCTGATATTCTGTCTGAGAAGATTTCCCAGAGGAGGTAACTATAGGTCAGGATTCCAATGAATGGGAAGGGACAGATGATAGAAAATACAGGGAAGACGTTATACATTGATGAGGAAAGGGAGGAAGAAAGAATTGTGCCAAGGCTGGCTAAGAGCTGGGATATGAACCTTATTTGCCTTGATAGCACCAAATAAAAGTAATTATTGCTCATTGAGGGCATACTGTGTGCCAGGTATTGCTCACAATAATCTTTAAATTCTTTTTTCTTTTTGTTTTCTCTGTCTAACCCTGGCTGTCCTGGAACTTGCTCTGTAGACCAGGCTGGCTTCACAGATCTGCCTGCCTCTGCCTCCTGAGATTAAAGGCATGCACCACCACCACCCAGCTGCTCACAATAATCTTGACAAGTGGGTTTTAGTGCTTCTGAAGACTCCTGTTTCTGAGAGTCCATTTTGGGTCACAGGATCTGAGTGGCACAGAACTCATGCTGAGGCTGCCAGATGAGAACCTGGCTCCCCGCCCCTGTTCCCCCCTCCTCGCCACGTCTCTGTCACTCCTTCCACTCCAGATTCAGGCTGTCCAGTGGCCTTGCTTTTGTAGTTACCCTGGGGTAAAGAGTTAGTCACAGGTAAGACCACAGAAGGAGCGGTGACCAGGCTGTAGAGACAAGCACTATCCTCATATCTACGTGAAGAAGGATGAAGGAATTCTGCATGGGGGGAGCTGCTAAGTCACTCTCCCGGGACTGCTGAGCATGGGTGAAATCTCGGGGGCCCAACTGTGCTACACCATTTTCCATGCAATGGTTTTTGTTTACGTCTTTTCTCCAGGGTCGACCACTGAGGATCTGAGTCCTCAGTGAAGAGTGCCAGTTGTCACAGAAGCCCATTCCCTCCTGGTAGGACAGCAGAGAGCCTTCTATCCCAACACTCCACTTCCCAGCACCCTTGCCAGGCGTGGCCAGTGGGAGCCAGAGCCCAGTAAGGTCACCCAAGCACGAGGGCACGAGGGCACGGAAAGTTCTTTGTGCCCCATTTCTCATGTCCTGGATAGATACTGAGATGCGGCCTGGCTGGAAGCTGAAGAGGGAGTGAGTGGTCCCTAATAGAGAGCAAAGCAACAGTGTTGAGAAGAACCCGAGTCCCCACGTGACAGACGGAGGAGAGCTGACTGAACTCGGCCTGCTGCTTCTGCTGTCATTTCCATGACGAATAAACTGTGGCTGCTGCCTGAGGCCTTTTTATTGTAACCTTTCTTTTTTCTTTCTTTTTTTTTTTTGTTTGTTTTTTGTATTTTCAAGACAGGGTTTCTCTGTGTAGTTTTGGAGCCTGTCCTGGAACTGGCTCTGTAGATCCGGCTGGCCTCGAACTCACAGAGATCCTCCTGCCTCTGCCTCTCAAGTGCTGGGATTAAAGGTGTGTGCCACCACTGCCTGGCCTGTAAGCTTTCTTGATCAGCCTTCCTATACACTTTCTCACAGCACATCTGCTGACTTAAATCCATGTTAAGGATCACACCCCAGGTGGGACCATGATAATGATAACATTGGTTGAGCCATAGACCAGGCTAAGGTGTCTAAGTCTGTACAGTTGTCCTGACAACCCTCTGAGAAAGTGTTATACTTTCCAACTTACAAACAAGGCTTAAAGAAAGAAAGAAAGAAAGTGATATGCCAATGAATACACTGTAGGTAGCAGAGCTGACTTCCATTTTTAATTTTGGTTGTGATTTGTTTTTGGTGTTTTGAGACAGTCTTCACTCTGTAACATGGACTGGCCTGCAACTCACTGTGTAGCCCAGGCTGACCTTGCATTTATATTAATTCTCTCTGCTCTAGCCTCCCAAATGCTAAAAATAGAGTTGTGAACCCTCATGCCTGGTAATCTTTGAGAGATATTGATATGTAATTTGGGGCTAATCTTGAATTTATAATCCTCCTGACTCAAATTCTCAAGTGTTGGGAATACAGATGTGCACCATCACGTCAGGCTCACCTTGGGCCAAATCCACTCTTCAGGTCAGAACTGGAGGAGACCTTAGAGAGCAACCTGTACTAGGCCATCCCCTGACAGTTAACCACATGGGCTCAGGAATCCCAGTATTTCCCTGGAGATTCTCAGGGAACATTCACTTTACATGTTGGGGTGCTGTGTAAGGCTTTGAAAAGGGGCCTTGAAAAGAAAAGGGGCCAGGCATGCTGGCGCAGACTTGTAATGCAACCCCGAGGAAGTGGAGGCAGCAGGAGTCGGAAGCCAGCTTCAGCTGCGCAAGTCGACCACCTATCTCAAAACAAGAGAGATAAAAACAAAACAAAAACAAACAAGTGGCAACGTGTCCAAGCCTCCGATAGCTACGATTCTCTTTTAGACAGCCTGGATCATCTAGAGTGAAGCGGGGTGGTATCTGTGTTCCCTTGGCTAGAGCTTGGGCAGTCCGTCTGCATTTGGACTCCCAGGCTCCTTCTGTTGGCTATCTGCCCTGAGAAGGGGTGGTGTGCACCTTTCCTCCACGCACCTTGTCACCAGATGCTCAAACGCTAGGGAAGGCAGGCTGGGGCCAGAGCCAAAGCAGGCCAAGGGGTCCCTCAGCCCCTCTCTAGTCTCTGCACATTTCTCTCTGGAACCCAGGGCTCCTCTTCCCCTAGGCCCCACCTCTTAGCCCACCAGGAAGGAGAAAGGGAAATTGTCATAAATCCCCCTATTTATACAAGAAGACAGTGTGTTTCTTGTGCCAGAAAAAACACAGAAAGGGAGCTGTCAGGGGAGAAGGGACCCAGCCCCAGACCTTGAGGGGTCAATTTATCTTCCCCAGGCATGCCTTGGGGACTACCGCAGCATTAGCTGTGGGAGATGCAGTCTGGGAGTTGGGGGGCAGCCAGGATAGCACTGCCTGGCCTTTGTTTCTGACCTCAGCCCTTCTGCTTCATCTCAGAGGCCCCTCTCCCCCTGACGTTCTTTTTCAAAACAACTTTGCTAAGGTGTAACTCACACGGAGCACAACCCCACTTGGAATGGACAGGTCATGGCTTTCATATTTTCATGGACATGTGCAACGGTCAGCACAATCAGTTTAAGAATATTCTCACCCCCTGAGAGAGCCTCCTGCCCATTGGTGACCACTTACTTATTCCCTGTATCCCTTATAGCCAGGCAGCCAATGAGCTGCTTTCCACCTCAATGCCTTTTCCTGCTCAGGACTGCCATAGGAATGGCTTCCTGTAGTGCATGGCCTTCTGTGACCAGCCCCTTCCCCCTGGTTCATATGTGTTTGTGTCAAAGCACACATCCATCCTTGTTTCCTTCTCATGGCTGAGCTGTTTCCACACTAGACACGTGGTATTCCAGGCACGGGTTCATCAGTCCGTGGGCATTTGGGTCATTCCCATGTCCAGATACTATGATTCTCTCTTTTTGTCTCTAGCAGTCTGAGCCATCTAGAATGAGGTCGGGCCTGACTCACGTGTGTTAAACTTCTGAGAGGGCCGTAGACTCATCTTTGGCCCCTTGCTGTCCTCAGACCCTGCAGCTTCAGAGTCAGCATAAACAGGGGACACTTCCCTGAAGATGGTCCCATGTAATCCTCTGTCTCCACCATGCTACGGGCAAAGGAAGGTCTATGGAGGCTCCCAGGCCAAGGGAGAGTCAAGTTCTTGAAGGTGTGGCTGCTTCCGAGTCCAGGTCTCCTGCCCCATGCCCCCATCTCATCTCCTTCAGTCCACTCTGTCTGCCAGCACCAGACTCTGCCCTACCTATATCAACCCTGACATACCAGTGGGAACAGCAAGATAACCTACAAAGGTCCAGACAATACCAGGTTGCATTTGTTGAATAAGTAAGTGGATGAGGGATTTATTGCATGCTCTCTGGAAAGAAACTGTTATCACCCCTTTCCTAGTCTGGAAATCAGCATTACCTCTTCATGAGAGGACAAAACGCTGTCTATATAATAGCTGCTATTTATTAGACCAGCTGTACACCAAGGTATTTAGGTATCTGATTGCTTTTCATCTCTTTTTTAAGGCAGGGTTTCATGTAGCCCAGGCTGGCCTGGAATTCTGAGAATAACCTTGGGTTTTAGATCCTCCTGTCTCTACCACGTGCTGGGATTACAAGTGTGCACCAAGACACTTGACTTATGTTGCACTGGGAATGGAACCCAGGGTTTCTTGCATGCTATCCTACCAACTGAGCCATATTGCCAACCTGCTTTTCACCTCCCAAGCGAGTATAATACGGCCAGTTTTAATATCTCTTTACATTCATTTATTTTTTGAATACGTCCTTGTGTGTGCACACATGCTCTAATGTCTGGAGGTCTGAGGACAACTTGTAGGAGTAATTTCTCATCTTCCGCCTGCTGTATGGGTTCCAGGGATCAAACTGAGGCTATCAGACTTGGCAGTGTGTACTACCTTTACCAGCTGAGCCACCTCAACGTTTTAAAGCTAAGAAATAACCGACCACAGCCCCATTCTGGCCTTCTCAGCCTCTCCCCTCCTTCACTGTATAGTGGCTACTCCTGCCTCAGGGGAGAGATGGAAGGATCAATTTGTCTTTCCAGGGCTTTACCCTAACACTTGACGAGCTGCCCGTTTTTATGAAGATGGCTGGATTTTATCAGTGGAAGGCTCCAGTGAGCCAGAGAGCTGCTGCTGTGGAACCAGGAGGAGGACATAGCAGGACAGATAACCCAATGTCGACGAGTAACCACCCTAGCATCCCTTGGCACCTGCTCAGTCGGGTTTCCAACGTGATCTGGATGACACCCAGCAAGCTTGAACATGGTGTTATTTTTGTTTGTATGATTTCACTCCTTACAACAAACATACAAGAGAGCCAAGGCTGGGCAGATTATACAAAGAAGTTTGTAAGGCCACAGCCTATATAGCTTGCTTAATTTTACATGGTGACTTTTATGTAGGGCTTACTGTGGACCACAAGCCCTGACAACTTCTCCTTTTGAGATGGAGTCTCATGTAGCACAGGCTAGCCAGAAGCTCACAGTATAACTGAGGTTTGCCTTGAATTCCTGATCCTCATGCCTCCCAAGTGCTGGGATTACAGGTGTGCCTCACCATTCCCAGCTTGCTGAATGTTTTGCAACTATTAACTTGTCTCTGTTCCATGTCCGCACGAAGCAGCTACCATTACTATTCACGGTTTTAAAATGGGGGAAATTGAGGCACAGATCTCCAGTATCTTCCCAAGGTCACAGAGCCAGCAAGCAGGCAGTCAGCGCCCAGGGCCTGGCCCTGAGCCTGTAAGGAATGGCTTCCCCAGGTGTTCCTGGCACAGCCATAGCATTTGGGAACTGTAGATAGTCTGGCAGGCCTCCTCCCCTGCCTCCCCTAGTCTTTATGGCCCATTGGAAAAATAAAGCCGCGCTGTGGCTCCCAGGGTGATGATCCTTCAGCTGCCTCCTTGGCACTGTCGTTCTCTCCTCGCCTCTTGGCAGTGGTTCCAGCCAGGAGAACCTCAGCTGCTAGTGCGGATCAAGATTTCTCAGGAGAAAGAGTGCACAGAGAAGCTGCTGAGCAGTGAAGCGGCTTTCTGTCCCCCGACTGTCAGGATGAGTGCATGAGTCACTGCACACTTGAGTGGGTATTGCTGCAGCACAGTGTGACCCAGCATGGAGAAAGCTGGCTGCCTGGCCAGCCACTGAGCAACTTCGGGGACATCTGAAGTGGCAATTACTGGAACTGTAGGTTCAAAAGGACTTGATCTTGAACTCCTGATCATCCAGCTTCCAACTCCTAATTGTTCAAATGTGCAGGTGCTTCCGCCCCTGGGTTTACGTGGTGCAGGGGGTAGCACCGAAGGCTTTGAGCATGCCAGGCAAGCGCTGTGCCAGCTGGGCACATTCCCACCCCCTCTCTAATATTTAAGAATTCTTATCTACTTCAGTTCTTCAGTGTGGGGCCCAACATGTCTTCGTTTCGTGTTGGAACATGAGGGGCTTGCCTGGCCATAGATGGGGAGGAGACAGGCCAGTTTAGGCCAGCCCAGTTTTACTGCTCTTTTCCAAGACTCCTGAAAGACAGAGCAGGGATTTGGATGAATGAACGTGTCTAGCTTTCTCCTAATGATTTCCATTAAGTAATAAAGAATCATTGCTGCTACTTGAAAACAAAAAGAAGAAATATAGCAGGAAGGCTTGTGGTTAGACCACAGGAGGAACCCGGTAGCTGCCTTGGACCTATGCTCTGATGACTGCTTTGAAGAATGTCTCACTGATATTTCCTGCAAGTTC